CTTTGCTTTGCTTTGCTTTGCTTGGGGTTCAAGTCAAGGGCAAACCTCTGACTCACGCCGAAGCGCATCCCGTTCCATCCTGTTGACGGCGGGGGCTTGGCTTTCGCTTCCTCTTTCTCTCTGTCTCAGCTCTCTCTTCTGAAGACAAGAAAAGCAGCAAACACTCCGCTCGGTTCGTCGGTGTGAGAACATCACACAACAGAGAGGAGGTACGGTCAGGCCCCTGCCATGTTCCTTGAAACCAATAGCCAAACTAAACTGCCCGCAAAAAAGAAAACTGGATCATTGCAAACGCTGACTGTCTGGGATTGTTGAGCCGAAAAAGCACGCACCCGAAAGCACTCAACCTCTGTCTGCGCTTGCGGGACCGATGGTGTAAATGCAGCACCACTGCAAAGAAGGCGTGCCTTGACAAACCATCGACCCGTCACTGCAGCATCGCGTGGCCCAGACATTTTCTTATAGCCAGCCTCCTGATCCAGCTATCCTTCTGAGATGTTACAGTCTGTTTTTGTTTCGACTGGTCATGGCGTTTCTGTGTGTTGCTCAGACCAGAATTTTTCCGTGCTGACCAAGGTCATATTGTATAAAGTCTTTCATTCAACCGTCCTACACCGGCTGCTTCATGCAGGCACTTAGCATCATTGGCAAGACCTCCCATAACACACTTCAACTAAGAGCCACATGGTTGACGACTTGCAACGTCAATCTTATGCTGTATGCAGACCTGCATGAGCCTTGCACGCAGCACCTTTTCTAACGCCGTCTGCCCCTGCCCTGCCCTGTTCTTAGAGGCTGGGAGTAGAGGCGAAGTGAAACAGGATCGGCCGACGACAAACATCCAAGCGACAAGGAGGGGCTTTGAGAGCAAACATCTCCAAGACGAGTCACACGAAGAAGGAAGTGTAGTGCACGTGCAGCCGTAGTTTGGTCGGCCCTTTTAACTTCCAAGCTAGTCGCATCCATCAGGTTTTAGCCGGTTCGCCTGTATCTATGCTACCCGGCCCTACTTCTCATCTCAATCCTCTCCATGCAGCCAATGCATTCCCGACTAGTGGATTTTGCCAATCCAACGCAAAATAAACGGGCGAGCAAGGAATGCTGACAGCCCTTCGCTTCACTTGCACCGCTGATGCGTGCACAGGCAGCTTCAGGCTGCGCGAGCTACGGGGCGTGCACCGTCAACGGAAACCATGCCAGTTCTCAAGGGATTTGCTGTCTGGTTCTGTGGTCACATGCGACCAATGTCTTACCTTCGGAACTGCATGACCCGGAGGTGCCGCTCGTGTGCATGGCCCTCGCCAATGCACCAGGCAGTTCGGCTCAGCCCATCCTGCGATGTCGAAGCACACAGCCACAGCTCGCTCTAGAGCTTCGTTTCTCACGTCTCGGTTCGTGGCCTTGCCTCTTTTTGATCTCGGCCTTCCTTGGCAAATCTTGATCTTGAACATGTGATTGGTTGCACGGCCCACGATGCACATCGAAGCAGAAGCTGCATCTCGGGCCGCTGCTGCTTGTTTATTCGAGTTTGATCCCTCTCGACCTCCCCATGTCAGCATGCTGGTGTGCGGATCCGGAAATGGATTCGTAAGCGTGGGGCCGTCTCTGCAATCTCAGGGATCATCCTGGGGCCGAGATGCCATGAGCAAAGCAGTGGGCCTAGGCTTACCCAATCTCGTGGTTTAGGGCCCCATCTCGTTATGGTGACCCAGGGTATGCTGGATCTGCTGGCCTCAGCAGATTGCATGTCGGAGCCACAACATGCTGTATGGTTTTTTGGCTTGCTCGGGAGCTCGAGGCCCCAGACTCTTGACCAGGAGACCCTCCAGCATATTGTCAATCCTTAGCAGCTAGACTCGGAACTCGTGTAATGCTGCTTGGTACGGCATCCCATCAAGATGCTTCATGTCTCTGCCAGGGGCAGGGCTGATCGTAGACTTTGTCCTTTGAGCACATCTTCAAGATCACCCCGACCCGCGAACTATGCAGATTTTCTTCGCGACACGTTGGTCTGGGCAAGATGTCCGAGGTCCGGGCCACCTCGTGATTCTTCTGGTCTGGTCTCAGCTGGGTTGAGACACCTCCGGCTTTACCAAATTCATGAAGGTGCAGCGCAGTTGCAGAGCTGATGCTGTCCGCCATTGGCTGCGGAGTCTCTCGCAGTCCTATTATACTTGTGGGGATACTGGCAAACCTGTGGCCGAGCTGGCTGATGCAGTAGAGTTCCTCGCAGCCTCACCCGGCCAGATGGACACGCACTGTCGGCCGGAACGAAGTATTCGAGTTATTCGAGGTCCCGCACTCGACGAGCCGCATCCTTGCAAAGGCGAGAAACGGAGGGAACACGTGACGGCTGTCGTCCCAAACCCATCCTCGGCAAGAAGCCGCGCTGCACCTGTGCGGAAAACAAGGTCTGCACTGCGGGTAAGACAAATGTAACCCACGATGAGCGGCTGAAAATCTCAGATTCAAAACTGGGCACTGGCACCTGGCCTCGACTGCTGTCGCTAGGCGTCGGCCCAGCAGATTGGGGATACCCTCCTGCCTCTTGCAAAGAGGGCTCAGATTGCAAGCTTCGTGCCGAGCAAGTGCCAATCGGTTGCACTGTGGGGGCATTCGTCTTCCCAAAATAACGATGCCCACTAGGATGGGAGCATCATCAATTGCATTCAAGTGCACCCTGAAAGCCAAACATGCGAAACTACCAAAGAGTTAGACCCAGCTGAGCCAGATCCGTCTCGGATCCGTGATCCAACCAAGGGAAAAAGCTCATTCCCCACTGCGCAGTAGGCAAAGCACCGATGCAGCTGAGGAGAAAGAAGCCTCGGCACTCCACCAGCTGGCAGATTTACTTGCCAGCTGCAAAACCAAACCGACCATGCTCATCATGCTCTGCGAAGAAACTCTGCCGGAAGGAGCTGGGGGTGGCGGCGATGGGCCTGGGCAGATGCAGCGATCCATGGGGTTTCGTTTCGAGCTCATGTCGCGACTGCAATGAAGGTTAGGACCTAAGCCTGGGGGACTTAATCGGACACACGTGAGCTCCCGACGGCTGTTCTTGGGCTCTTTCCGAAAGATGTTTCTGACCTTTCAAGGCGACTGCGATTGGTGCTGGCGGGTATGCAATTGTCCTTCATCGGTAGGCCCGGTAGGTGCTGGTCCAACTAGAATGGGGAGTCTGTGATGATCTGCAGGCAAAATCTTAGAAGCTTGGTACCGGAGCCCAGCCGAAGGACTTCATCGAGCGAAGGAGCCACTCCGACCTCAACAAAGATCCCTTTTCTCTCCGTGCCCTGGGGCCCTGGAGAGACACCGGAAAACTTCTCAGGCGCCGTCTGATCCAAATTGTGGTTAATTGCATCTGCGTCGCCCTGTCGGAATGTCACCCTCCGTCATCCGCACGAGTTGTGCCCTCGCACACACGGATGCCACCTTGATCCGGTGCAGCTGCTCCGTCTGTTCCTGAGACGTTGTGCACAGCAAAACCTCAACTTGAGCCTGCATGCAAGCGCAGTGCAAACTGCCCCAGGCAAGACTGGACAACCTTTACGCAACAGCAGCAGCATGGTCGACATGGGACTACAAGAAATGCAAACTTTTTGATATCGTTTTGCCTCATACTTCACAAGGACGAGCCCGAGTGGCAGGCTCTTCCGGGATGTCGTTTGGTTTTCAAGGTTCGACCAGAGCTAGACCCATCGCCCCAGGTCAAAGCGTCAGACCCAGCACCGGAAACTGGGCCCTTTTGTCAGAGAACTTAGAAAAGCATTGCAGCGGGAAAGCCATATTGTGAAGCAGCCGCAGATGCAGCGGCCCCAAGAATTCTGAGCCTTGCAGGGCCTGCTGTGCGAAGGGCCACGGCCAAAGATTTTGGCTTTAGAGAGCCATCGCACCCTCAGTGCTGCCTTCACAGTATTCAGAATATCTGCGCGACTGGCTTGCGGATTGGCTGTCGGGGCCGGGTTGTCTTTCCCTTTCTTCCGCTCACGAGGATTCTTTTAAATGTCTCGATGCACCTTTAGCGACACCTGTTAACAAATCATGCGAAGAAGATCCGTCCGGAAAGCTTGTGCAGGATGTAGTGATATCTGAGAGGCGGGCATTCAGCGTTGATAAGACACCTGCCACAAGCCACGAAACCCACTTCTCTGACGCGGCTTGGGAATCTCCATCACGAATACCGACAACTTGCCATGCTCGATGGGCACATTTAATTCAAAGCCAGGACGGCGTGTTGAAGTGTCATCAGCATCCGCCAAAGATCTAACCTGTTCTGGGACTTAGCAGCTGCACTTCCTCAACAATTTTGGGAAGGTTCCAAGGGCCAGACGGTGCTAGCCAACAACTCGGCTTCTGTCCCTCAGCTGGAAGCATTGCCGGGAGAGTGCGCAGTAAAGACGCCGACCCTCTTTCAGCCCCCCTTGGCTCTTTCATTGTTTGCTGCAGTGGTTCTCCGAAGAAACTGCAGAACTTACCGTCGCCAATATGTGCAGTGGTGCCGCAGCAACATTTTTAAGGTACCTTGCAACGTTCTGCTATGCCCTGGCTATGCCTGAGCGATGCAGCGCTGCAAGCCCCGCACGGCCATCTGAAGACTTCAAGGCAGCCCTGTCGCCATAACTCATGCCTGGCTCGTTGCAACTGCCGGCGCAAAGAAATGAGAAAGCACAGGCCACGGCCTCGTCGCCGTCTGACGGCGCAGGAGGCCCGGCCCAGGCCCAGAACACCAAAGAGCTACGACGGGGACGCCGCCTGCTCTCTGCCTACAGTCCTGTGAAGCTGCGCAGTAGCACATCCTTTTTCCGAACATGCATCGCATGAGTCTATCGACCGTCCACCCAAGGTTTGGTTGCTCTTTCAAGAGCCCCCAAGGACGTGTTGGCGCGGAGCTTAACAGGGCGCCGATGTTTGGTTGCAAATAGAGTCACTCGATTGCCTGTGCCAAAAGACTCCAAAGCATCAAGTATCGCCCGGCCACTTGTACAAAAGTCTCTTCCACGACCCCAGCAGCCCCTAACATTCCTATATAGAGACCCTGATCCCAGGCTTTGGAGCAATGGTAAGAAATCATGCTCGGCAGTTCCAGTGGCACCTGCGCAGCAAAAACTGCATCACACCAGAACGAAGGACGACTGCGACTACTCAGTTTGGAGCCGATTTATGTGGGCCTGGAACTGACCGGTCTTGAAACACTTTGAAAACAAAAACTTAAGGCTCTGTCAGCTGTTCATCAGAGCGCCGGAGGGGCATCAGGTTCGTGTGGCGGATAACACAGATCCCATCCCAGTATGGCATCATTAGGCTTAGGCATCGGCCATGAGGGCCCTAGGCCATAGGCATTTCTCTTCAAGGTCTTTCAACCTCGACCTGCTCGCCTCCCTCAAGGAATCTGCGCCAAACAAGCGCCTGTACAGCGTTGCACGGACTCGTGGATTGCACGGACTCGTGGACTCGGGCAACTGAAAAGGGATAGCAACTTGGCAATTATGGCAATTGGGCCTCGTGTAGGCCCCGTAAGTCGCCATTGCAAGATGAGAGCTACGGGCCTGGCCTTTCCGGCCTCGCTTTCTGTCGCAATGGCCTGCTGACCTGGCTCTGCCAGGCGATGCCAGCCATTGCCCGCCTGCGCCGCTGCTGTCGGCAAGAACCACTTACAAAATGTCACTACGGAACTTTGCTTTTCCACGGCAGCATCAGCTCTCACCAGCGCGTCAGGGGCTCAGTGGCTCGTGCACGAGCGTCTGGCAGGGATGCAGGCACTCTACAGGGTGTCGGTGCTTGTGGCACTGAGCAGCATGTCGGGTTTTTGGTTGTGGGCACAAGGTCCTCCAGACTGTCTCAACCCTCAAGCTTCACGCAAAACCTCCTCGAACGGCTGGCCTGGCTTAGCTCACCGAAATAAGCACGCCACTCCTTCCTCAGCGCGCGCCTGACAGGATTCATGATTCTCGAAACGTCTCAGCCGTTCAGCAGTAGAGCCGTTCACTGCGAAGCATCTGTGAACTGCTAAGAAGCAAAGAACTGACGGGAATCAGTCCCGTACAGAAAACGACTCGTTGATTGAAACGAAGTTCTGACTCGCTGCGCCATGCACCTGCACGCATCGGGCTGACTTGGGTCGTTCAGCTTCACTTTGAGCCAGGCCCTCGGTGGACAGCGGCTCTCTCGGAGTGGAAATGCAGAATTTGCTCGTCTGGGGCAACAGGCCGATAGCGTTTGCGAGCCCACAAATATCGCCGAAACAAAATCACCTCCCAATCGGATGCGGCACACTCTGTCATCGTACCCCGAAGGAGATGGTCAGCGGTGGTCTGTGCTGCGCTTGCATGCTTGCTTGCCAAATTTTCCCTCGCCTTCAAGACAAAGTTGACAACTGTGAGAACCAGCACGAGCCACGTCATGCATCGGCACCACAACCTGTGACGAACAAAAGCATTCGCAAACACGAGAAGTCATACAAGCTTTCACAAAAAACACTTGTGCTTGTCAGCTTCCCGCCAACGTTCCCGGTCTTCGGGAATGGAGAAGCAGAAGAGGCCTGCACGCGACATGTGCTGGCGTGAAGATCGTGAAATGAGTCGCCCTGTCCCAAGGGCAGCGCAGACACTCTACCCTTTTCCACAGGCTTGAACTGAGCTCGCCCGGCCAAATCCCTCGCTCTACCCTAAACCCTAAACCCAAGATGCAGTACCCTAGATTTTTTATGTCGGTTTGGAAGTGTGCAGAACTGTACTTTCCTAGAGGCTCAGATTCAGTACCCTAGATTTTTTATGTCGGTTTGGAGGTGTGCAGAACTTTCTGGTCTAATTTCCTAGAGTCCTAGAGGCTCAGATTCAGTACCCTAGATTTTTTATGTCGGTTGTGAGTTTTGCAGTTATTTTGGTTCAGGTTCCTATAGCCCAAGATGCAGCACCCTAGAACTTTTATGTCGGTTTCGACATGTGATTTCCTCTGAAACCCTTCGAGGCTCAAAGCTGTTGCCGTGGCAGAGCGTGTGTCGCGGCACGTTCCTCCTAGCGAGGACCTTGAGAAGGCAGCAGAGAAAACCTGCAGACGCCTGCATGAGTTACGTGCACAGCCACGTGCCTAGTCATGTGCCTAGCCATGTGCCTAGTCATGTGCATGTCATGTAGAAGGCGAGCAGGTGCCAGACGTGCAGGGTACTGCCCTCTAAGGCTCTGGTGCGAAATATTGCTGTACAGATCGCCACGGGGGCGGGAGCTCAGAGATCCTCAGGGCAGGCGGAAGCCTGCAACTTGCACGCAATGTCCTTGCATTGGCAAGACATGCTATCGCTGAATTCCTGTTTGCTCGGCATAGACACGTTTTTCTGCAGACGGAGTGTTGCACAGGGCTGCTCGGCCATCCCTGAGCTGCGAGATGGTCCGTGTGACCGCAAACTTGACACTGTTCAGGACTTGTTCCAGGCCCTCCACACTGCAGCTCTCTTTTCCACAATCATTGCAAGCCTGAGACGGCACGTCGAACCAAAGCCAGGGTTCGTAGGCGTGCAAGTGCATGTGGATAAAGCTCTCGATATTCCGGGGTCTTACTCAGGAAGATGAGTGGGGCTTGAGCAAGTACCGCCCCTTGCTGTCTGGCGTTGTGCGCGTAAGCTCTCAAACGAGCCAGGAGTCGAGGCTCCCGACCGACATCCTGAATCAGGACCGTGGACTTCCATACCTTCACATATCTGTCGTAGACCAGCACATGTAGTAAGCCGACGCCGGAGGTGCCTTGTCCGGTCCACGTCAGCACCTGTTGCACTGAAGCCAGGAGCGTCTGTCGGGTAGTCTTCAAGCCCATGCAGAGAAGCTCTTGGATGTGGTCATGAAGCGTCTCCCGAACACGACAGCTCATCCAGAGCTCTTGGAAAGCTCACCAGATCGCTGCCTGGAGTGCTTAGCGGACAGAGCGACCAGAGCTGGCGGAGCGAAGGCCAGTTCATGAACCATGGACGGCATGGGCTTGAAGGCGATGCAGACCCGGTCTCGCGGATCCGGAAGGATTTTTCGGGGACCTTCAAGGCCACGAGGCGATGTGCCGCCAGCTGCGTCTGCAGGTCCGGCGTCTCCGGCGCCGCGGCCGACAACGCGGGCCTCCGTGGACATGTGGGAGGACATGTGGGAGGGATGTGTAGGAGGGATATGTGGGAGGGATATGTGGGAGATGCTTGTACTGACGAAGCATGCAGCATGTGCCTAGTCATGTGAAGGGGTCGTATGACTCAAGCTCCCGGTACCCCCCCCCCGTCCATTTCTTGCTTTTGTCTCCACCCCAACCATGTGGTACGCCATGTGCGTGGTCATGTGCCTGGTCATGTGGGGCGGCGGTTTTGTGTCTAAGTCTGCTAAAGGAAACGAACAAAACACTCTCACAGCAGTCACTGCCGGCATCTTCTTCACTTTGCCGGAGAAGCCTGTGATCCGGATGGCCGTCTCCGGATTCACCATCTTTGGCATCCAAGGTTGGCGAAGTTCCGGTGGCAGCTGGAGGATCACGCTGGGATGATCTGCGTCTGGAACCAACGACGGACCATGGTCTTGTTGTGCTCGCTGCGAAAGTCATCGTAGAGACTCTTGTAGCCTGCTACGATCTGCTTCGCGATGACATTCAAGACCGGGTTCCAGAGCGTCTGTCGCGATGCCACCTCGCAAAGGGCGAGCTGGTATAACAAAGCCAGGAGGTTCGCAGGTTCCCGTGGCAGCTCCGCTAACATGAACAGGGCCTTCTCCGAGCCCAGCTCTGCAGAGAGGCTAGCCGTGTCCACATTGGAACTGGGAGCCGTCGGGCTTGCTGTCCAGACTGGATCTCGGAGCACTCGCGGCTAGGTACGGATCCGTCTCCGCCGTGGGCGAGAGCTCGCCAGGCACCGTGCTAGCCGGCAACACTGCCAGTGGTGCTAGAGCACGCCGAATCTCTGAGCTGGGGTGAGTGAAGCTAGCAACCAACCCAAGCGAATACAACCTTATGTGACCTAACCAAACCCTAAACTAAACCGAACCTAGACTGATCTACACTTCCTTACCCTGACCTAACCTCAGCAAAACACACCAACCTGCAGCAACATCAGTTTCCTAAGCCCTGCCCGCACCTAGCCGCCAGGACCCTGACCCAACCTTCCCCAACCCAACAAAACCGAACCAAAGCGCATGCAATCCAACAAGCGAAGCCAAGCTAACCTATACACACCAACCTGCCCTGCACTGAATCTAGCAACGCAGCCAAAAAAACCCCAAACCCGCCTCCTAATCAACCTAACAACCTGCGCTGACCCAACCACCCTAGCACAACCTAACCTAACCGGAGCGGACCGAGCAATCCAAAAATAAACCAACCCGAAACTAACGTGAACCAAGCCACCTTAGCCCCGTCCTACAGTAGCCCCAACCCAACCTAACCCGACCCACCCTCGCCTAGCCTGACAAACCTATATCCCAACCTCATTTTCGTCCACCACCTAACTTGACCCAAGGAACCTCAGCTAGCAGTTCCAACCTAACCCACCCTGCCCAAATCTGACCTAACTCACCATCTTTGCAGCCCACTGAACGAGCGGTCCGAGAACCATGCTCCGCCACACTAATGCCCATGACGCTGCAGCGGCCTATCTTGGCGCGCAGCGTCCAACCTCGGAACACATTGGACAAGATACGAACTGTGAGCCTCACATGTGTGCCCGTCTTTGGCCTGCAATATACCAAGAATGCCATGATGTTGCCAGCTGGGGCAAGTGCACAGGCTGACGGTGATGATGACATCCTTGCGCGACTGGCAGAAACCGGCCAAGGTGAAAATGAGAGCTGGGGCCGACTTCAACACATCACCACTCAGGCCAAAACAAAGCAAACAAGCGAAAATAAGGACAGGACTGCCACCAGAACCGGCACTTGAGACCTTGGCAGTCTGCCCAGCACTGACACACCCAGTCTCTCTTAGGCTTGTGACCTGAACTCGACCAGGCACAAGGCACTATGCCATGAAGGCTCTCGGTGATGTACATGTCCTGGACCGTGGCGGGAGGAGCCACTGCGAGTCCACAACATGTGATGCGAAGGCAACACATTTCCCCGCGTTTGTGGAGTCCTTCGTTGGGAAGCCCAGAATGAAGGAACGAGGACCATACCTTTGAAAATATCGTCTGCACCCGAGGGTAGCGTGCACACACTGTACTGTACTCAGCCAGGTCATGTGCAGCTTTCCGCCAAAGGCAGCGAATGGATGGCACCGCCTTGCAAGCGTTTCGGGCAGATTTACATGGTACGCGTCGACGAAGATCTTAACCTTTGCAGGCCGAACACCAAGCCCCGGGCTTGTCGGGATGAAGCAGGGACACGATGTCTCGGACTATCCTCCACAACCCACAAAATGCATCATGTCCCAGCAGCTATCTGCACATGCTCTGGACTCCTCGGGATCAAGAACATCTCCACCACTGTGATGCTAAACATCAGATCCAACCTGCATAGATGCAGTACACGAGGGACGTACCCTCCGGCTATTCGGATGGAAAGATCTGATGCATGACCACAAGCGATGTAGTCGTGGCATCGCTGCCTGCCAAAGAAGCCAACCTGGCCAAACAACCCCCGTTCCCTCACCCTTTGGATCCCTTCGTTGGAGACCAGGATGCACACAGAAAGTCACGTGAAGAGATTGCTGAGTCAAAGACATTGGTCACGTACTCGCCCTTCCAGTGTCTTTGTTTCGATAATTCGGTTTGTGATAGAGATTGCGAAACACCGAAACTGCGGCAAGCAGCAGCCTTGTCGTGCCAGTCCAGGATAAGGCCCCTTTGGGCACGCCGATGAGCAATGTATACCTGGATGCTTTCGTTCTGTGCTTCTCTTGGACATCATCGTAGCCGCCAGAGACACTCGCATCCTGTCCAGCGGTTTGCAGCTAAGGCTTCAGCCCAAAGACACCGCGAGATGAGGAAAAGGCTGAGGATGTAGGAGTCGAAGCGGCTCGCCAACTCCTGTCAGCATGGACAGTTGGGCCCAGGTGGAAGTTCGAGCGCGCGCGTGGCAGGACGCATGCGCAAAAGCCTGCCTTTGTTGAAACAATCTCGGAGAGCAAATTCAGCATTGCAATGTTGTAGAACCTGAGGTTCAAGTCTTCGGTGCTGGGGCAAGTAATTGCCTGCCAGCCACAGACTGGGCAGGACTACTCCGCTGACAGCACCTTCTCTGCAAAATGATCTAAGCCCCCGGCGCAGTGCACGAGGAGCGCGCAAGAACCTCACAGAGCCTTAGCGAAAGCGGAAGGCCCTTGAAGGCTCGCCTTCCAACCACTCACCGGGAAATCGCACCCAGCCACGGAGCTGCTTGCAGTGGGCAGCTCTCAGTGAGGGAAGCTCTGAGTATGCGACTTCATGGAGAAACTGCTTGTGGTCACTAGCCGGCCGTACCTTGGCGTCACATGCAATCCTACAGCAGCACACCAGTCACAAGGTCAATCGGACCCAGCTCTAGCCCCAACAGGTTGCAGGTAAGTCGTCCCTTGTGTTGTGGTGTGGGTCTCCATGCTTTTTGGCACATTGCTCCTAGTGTGCACGAGCCTCGAGACAAGTCTTGTTTAACAATGGACCTAAAGTAGGCAGGTCTTGGCTGTTTGCGGAATGGCCGACGAGTAGTCTACGGCAATGGCAGTCGGTGTCCGGCTGGCAGCACCCTCGTTATCATAATTATAATCTGCTTTTCCTCGGCAGGTCTTCCTACTGGTACCTTCTCAGCCGCGAACATCCAGTCTTCGTCCACATGGTTCACGTTGAGGTGCATTCTTTCTTCATCAGCCTGAGTTGAGGTGTGCCACCAGTTCTCACTCGCTCACGGCACACAGGTGGCGACATTCTATGCGGCCAACCCAGCAGCTTTTCTATCCGTCAGCTTAGCACTCGGCCATGCCGCTTTGAAGCTCAATCGGGTCGTCCTCAGCAGCCGCAATACACGCACCAGCTGACTGGTGCCACAGTCCAGACATGGAAGTGCTAAGGTCCATCTGAGATGCAAGCATATCTTACCTGGCCTTGGGCAGTGTACCAGAACTCGTAGCAAACCTAGGCAACAGCAGCTCTAGACGCTGCGATTCTCTGACTTGGCATCCAGCTTTTTGGCAAGTTCAAAAATGCAGCGGTCCTTCTTCGAGCAAGGAAGCTTAGCTCCGTGAGGTTCTGTGAGTGCATTTGTCGCTATTACCCCCCTGCGCTCGGACTTTTCCCTGTACGCCAGGACCTGTGGACGGAGGGCACTTGCCAGCCAAGCTGCTCAGGTGCCGAAAACCCTACACCTCGTCGATCTAGTCGGTGTAGCGTGAACCTAGCACCTGCCACCTTGTGGCAGGTGATGCATCCTGCCAAAAGTGCCTTCCAGCTGCACCAGGTGCCCATCAGCACTCAGCACTGCGCACTGTCAGGCCCCGCAAGCAGGCTGCAGCCAGTCGGAGGTTTGTGTCTGAAGGAGCGCTTCCCGCTCCTGCTCCGCTTCGGTTGAGAATGGAACTCAACATGTCCAAGCTCACAAGTGGGCAGGTGGTGATATGTCGATGTCATAGACCCAAGACAGACCACACGATAAGCTTACATGAAGCCTGGGCAGTGGGATTCGGACCGTCGGACTGGGCGAGGCCCTAAGCGGTGAAACACGTTGAACACACGGTGACACATAGATTCAAGCGCTCTTTGCAACACTGCACGGCAGCTGGGAAACTGGAGGGTCGAAACAGCTGTCCGCAAAAACTGTTGTCCGATGTGTTCTCTACTGACTTGCAGCCTGGGTTTTTTGTATGTATCATCCCCCTCCACCCCTTGATGCCATCTGTACTTGCAGCTGACAGTAAAGGGAGTTTGTGAAAGCATGTGCTTTCGGAGCTGGCTTCATTTCACGAGCATCTTTCTCAAATTCCATCCGATGAAGACGCCGCTCATCCAAGAGGCGGCCGCGATCATGAATACCTGACATCGACTAAAAGTACAACTTTTCACCTACATCTGCACAGGGGCAACACTAGATCATGTCAAGTCAAGAATGGAAACAACGGCACTAGCCGAAAGTCAGAGCTGTCACATCGCATGCACCCAGAGCAGACAGCTCCTGCCCCAGCGCTATCATGCTTTTGGCATGTGCGTGTACGACACCGTGTCGGCATGCCAAGTAGCCATTAAGCCTCAAACCTTCTGAAGACGGAACTGTCTCCACCAATGCGCGAAATTCGACGTCCCATTGCTCGGAGACTTTCGCGGCTGAACACGGCCGAGGATTGTAGCAGAAGGAGGAAGAAGCCGGGTCGTCGTCAAGAGCAGACGGAGCAGCCGTCACAGTAGCAGTCGTGCTGTGGTGGCGGCGGTGGCGGTGGCCGTCGTAGTGTTGGGTGGTGGTAGTAGTAGTAGTAGTAGTAGTGTAGTAGTAGTAGTAGTAGTAGTAGCAGCAGTAGTAGGAGGAGGAGGAGGAGTAGTGGTAGTGGAAGTGGAAGTGGTAGTGGTAGTGGTATTACTGGGTTGTTCTTTGGCAGCTCTGAAAATTATTTATGGAATCGGCTGTGTTTGTGCCGTTGTTGGGCTTTGGCACTTGTCACGCACCCGATTGCATGTACCAATTCTATCGGTTGTGGAGTTGAACTCTGGCTTTTGTCTTTGAAGTACCCTAACGGTGGGCAATGTCAATGTTTACGTGACTCTGGTGGCATATGCTGGTGGCTTGATCGGAAAGAAAGACTAGGATGGACAAAGTCAGGTACTACAAGCCTGCAGTTTTCAATGCTACAGAATCAGCCAAGCTTTTCATGGACACCGTGTTTCAGCACAACTACCCAAGCGTCACCAAAAGTCTGCGCAGTCAGTAGTCAGGCTTCAGAAGCCCGATGTCAGATAAGTGACATAGAGTCACTACACACTGCAATGTCAGCTTTGAGGCATTTGTGCTCCAAGCGTCAGCTGCCTGGACAAAGAGGCGACAGATGGCGCTCCAGTTATCATAAAGCCTCGAAAAAAGGAGCCAGAAAGTTAGTGTCTCAAGACCTAGACGAGGGCGAAGGTGTGCAGTCATGTGATCAATGCTGCGGCTTTGTAGCAGGTTCGGCCGTATCTGCCGTCAATGGAAATGCTCGATTCTTGACTTGAAGGCACGCTTGTTTCCATTCGGTTTCAGGCTTCACCCAATTCAGAGTCACATCTCCACAAGAACAAAGGCCGGTTGCAAAGTGCTGGCATGACTCAATCAGTTGTCAGAATCTGCTGTCAAAAGGTATTGGCATGTGCGTAGAGGGCATGCCAATACCTCGCCCGTTGGTGCCAACAGCTGGGGTATTGGCATAGTGTCACTGGTCATGGTGAACTCAGTTGCCAAAGGTTGCGCAGCCCTGGCCCTCAGTCAACCTTGCAAGAGAAGCCGACGAAGTCGTAACGGCCCAAATGGAAAATAACATGCAGGTGTCACTGCTTGCTTCAGCAATGTGTTTTTCTCGTTGTCAGTTTACTGCCTGCCCTCTCAGGCCGAAATGTTGGAGGCGTCAAACACCAAGAGGGCCAGCACCTGGAAATATGGGGGTGCGGATTGGGTGCGGATTGGTGCTGGCCACACAGAATCGATTTGCGACCAGTGTCAATAACTGCCTTTCCTGTTGCCCGAACTCCTGGAGATCAGCGTCAGGTCGCGGATTTGTACTGGCCATACAGAATCAGTGTCACATGATCCCTTTGTGTGAGGCTGAACTCCTGGAGACCAGTATCAGTTCTGAGAAGGCACGAAGGGTTGTGCAGTATTCGGCGCGGAGCGTCAGTGACCACACCGAATGTTGCTCCTTGTTCTTGCAGGTTACCATCGTCTGAGCTGCAAGTGTCATTTGCTGGTGATGTTAGTTCGCACTCATTGATTTCACATTATTGGTCATTGTCATGTGTTCGACTTCCACATAACACATGTTACCACGAGCCCCATGCAGCGTCATGATCAAGTGCTATGTGTGTTCTTTCTTTTTCACCTGATCGCCAATTGAAGCTTCTGTTTGTCTGGCACGGCCAACCAAACGAGCCTTATTACATTATACCAAAGCCAACAAACCCCAGGAAAGTAAAAACACTCCGAAAGCACAGCGCAGACTAGTCATCGTCGTCGTAGTAGTCGTAGGAGCAATAGTCTTGCTGTCACCCACCCGGCACGCCTATTCTTGTCCGGCAACTTCAGACTCAGAAGCATTGCCGTGGCACGGGCAGGAGAAAAAGAATGCTAAAACAAATGCACAAGCGAGCACACAGCAATGCCTCCAAGGCGAAAGCAATCCTAAATTGTCAAGGATGGCAGAAGCAGCAGCAAACGAAGCAGAGTGTCAGTGGTCAAAAGGTGTAAAACACATTGCAGACGACTCGTTGGCGCTGCAGATGCCAGCTCCCATACAAGCTGAGTTCCGTGCCATCTTGATTGTTTTATCGTCCCAGTGCAGTGGGCACAACCGGTATAGCAAAGAATCCTCGAAGGAGTTCTTTTTCTGAACGCTTGCCTTGGAAGAAGCTGCAGCTGAAGAGCATGCAAGCTCAGATGTGATCGGCAACTCAGACTCACAGCCGTTTGAAGTGCAGCGTGGGTGCTACGAGGCTCTTTCCAGCCATAAAAGCTCCACCAGAACCGGGAGCTGTGGGCGACTGGTTGGCCTGTGCCTTTTCCGAAGGTTTCTGGATGCCCATGATTGCGGCCATGGGGCAAGTACCTTGGAATGGAGACCCGGCAGCAGCGCTATCGCCCCGTTCCACCACATCCGTCCAATACAACAATCTTCGAGCCCGACCGCAACATGACACATTGCAGCGTTATAGATTCCGCCCCGCCGATCCCCCAAATGGTGCCCGTCACTAAAATCCAATGAACTTTCCCGGCTTTCAAAACCGCATCGAGGCATCTCCAAGCGACCTTGCTTCCCGGAGATTGGGCAGCGATCGCCTTCGCCCTGCGCTTCTGAAGTCTTGGCCGCCGCTTCGGGAGCTTTCGCCTCCTCCTTGCCAGCTGGTCGCTTCCGCAGCCCCTCTGCACCGGCTTCATCAGCCGAGGCAGCCAGCTGTCCTGCCGAGCCAGACCGGCAAAAGTTGCCACTCTGGTAAATCGGACACCGAGTCGGCAAAGATAAAAGAAGAAACAGATCAGCAGTTAAACTGTTGCGAAACAAAAGCGTGCACATTCAAACAAAGCATCACTGATATCTGTCACATGTTTCGTTTTCCCGCCCCATGCAGGGTCTTCACCTACTGGTACCACTCCCCTCCATGCAGGAGTAACTTAGAAGATGACCTTGCTTCATAGTCACACTTGAGGCAGGCCAACAATTCCAAAGGCACTTGTACGAGTTCACTTCTTTGCACTGGGGGCTTCCTGTGACGGTCCCAATCCCCATTTTGCCGACAGGCCCGTGCATGGAGAGAAATGCTGGTGGCTGGCATGGAGGCATGGACAGACACGTTGCACTCTCACAACTAATTGTGAGGCATTTTCTCTCTGACTCCGTCCTGCAACAGGATACTTCTCCTTCAGCCGTTGCCGCCACTGAGTGAGGGCTTCTTCGTCGTCTGCGCAGTCCGGAGCCCACCTTCGGTCGGATCTGGCGACCCAGCATGGAGCAAGCGCACACACACACACACACATATATATATATATACATACATGTACATATGACACACACACACACAAAAGCACGCAACGTGTCACAACGTCTCCCTTCCATGATGCTAGAGCTACAGCTTCTCTCTCTACCGCCTCAAATCGTCCAAATGCTCTGGCTCGAGAGACATCGTTGCGAGGCATCTTGTCACGTCGTGACCGGCTAGCACCTTACCGCAGCAACACAAGGATGCCACGGTTGTGCGGCAGATTGCAGCCCAGTTTCTGAGTACCCGCCACCCGGCCCATACATCCTCATGAAACGACAAAATCGCAGCACTCAGAGAAGGCGCATCCCAGTGCACATACCTTTGGGCCGGGCGGCTCTCGGCCAGAACTGACGTCGAGCAGCTCTCCCGCAAGGCCGATGAGAATGCGTCCTTCGGCCTCGCCGGTGTACTTCCCCAGCTCCTGCGGGACAGGCCAGAAAGCAGCACACGACACGTAAAGGCGTGGAGATGTGTGGAGTCTCTGAGCTCCTGGAGGCTCAGCGTCAACTGCTCTTTGCAGGGGGCCGGCAGTTCGCCGGCTTCCGAGCCCTCCTTTGAAGTCTTGTAGCTGACGCCGCTTGCTGGATTCATCTGGAAAATCTCCGTCATCATGGCTTCCGTGTCGGCATAGATGCGCTTCATGGACTGCAGCATCCGTCTCCGCACATCCTCATCGATCTGCAGCTGGTCGAATGCCTTCAAGTACTCTTGCACTCGCGCTGGCTCTTTGCCAGGCTGCACCCCTTCAAAGTGGTAGAATTTCACGCCCGGGGCGCCGTGTGGAACACACAACTTCTGTGAAACCATCTCTCCCAAGTAAGCACCACCACTGAGTACTGCCTGCGTTGACCAGGTGTTTGACACAGTTCAGCACAGGGCACTGAATGCCTACAGTAGCAGCTTTCAAACGATTCAACCCACCGCTTTAAGCGCCGAGAAGCATTGTACTGCAGGAAGTGATGTGACAGCAGCAAGTACGGGTCAGCCGCGTCCACTTCAAAGCCTGCGCCGGCGGTTTCACTCAATGCTCGATGCCACACTATCTTATGCGGAAAACTAGTAGTCGAAGCTGGCATCGCAGCCCTGAACACCTCCAGAGCTGCAGGCCTTTCAAATACTGCTTCGCAGCAGAAGACGCCGAGCAGATCCCTGCTGATTCCTGGCCGTGACTGCTGAGGCTTCTCGGGTTCAAAGCACAGCCTGAACAGACCAATGGCACCGAGCAACCATCAGAACACCCCCCTGAAACTCCTTGAACCATACATCATTATGCACTTTCAGCCCCCCGACATGAGGACACAAAGTCGAGTGAACTTGGCTGGGTGCTCCTCACTCCACTCTGGGCCCATGAGTCGAGCCAAGTCTGCCTGTGCAGCTCAAGGACAGGTCAGGACATCAGATCACAAAGGATCTGTCAAACTTTCATGACAGAGCAGGATGCCTCTAACTTCTGGGTCCGCGCGAGCGCATCATCATGAACAGCGCCTCGGCGCGTCCAGTCATGTTCACTGGAATTGTTGTGCAGATTACTTACTGAGGCGTAGCTCCCACAACTCGGACGAGCGGATGAGGGATCTTTGCATTCCTCAGCCTGGCCTTGAACACTGAATTCGATCAACGCAATAGTCCGAACCCGACGCCCTAGAAGCCATTGTAGTCTATTCGATTCTGTTCTGTTCTATTGTGCTATGTTCTGGTCTATTCTATTCTACGATATCGTATTGCATTAGCAGAGCCTGATCAGCCGAAGCTGCGAATCGGCTCCGCAGAAGGATCGAATTTCGCCTCCATGGCCTTGGCCAAATCACAACACAGTAGGGTAAAGCATAATACGATATAACTACGATATAATTGAATGGCTACATAATATACAATACACCCGCGCATGGATTCGTTCTATATCTCTGCACATGCAGCAGCAAATGGGGCTGTGTTTCGAAGGGCCCTGGCCTGGAAGACCTTGTGGTTCAAAGCCAACCAGGCTGCGTACTGCTTCAGGCTGAAGCTCTGCTTGTAAATCATCTGCATCCTTTGTTCGGGACATTACATGTGCAGCTTTCTGTCAGCCAGATACAGCGCCGTTACACAAATCTAGCAGCAAACGGGCCAGCCGTTGTACAGCAGTCTGAAGTGGTCTTGAAGAGTGTGATTTTTGAAGGTATCCGCAGGCAGTCTAAGCACCATGGGTGATCCATGGACTTGTCGTGCTCCAACAAGGTCTTCTGGAGGAACCACTTGGAGTGCCCGTCAGATCCTGAGCTTGAACACGCTGAACTAAGACCAGCAACCCCCGAGAGACCAGAAGAAGCCGCTAAGACTGCAGAGTGGGCCGAATCCAGGCCAGGGGGATGCTTGCAGCTATGCTGCTGGACAGCACCCCATATTTGCTCATGTCAGTCTCTCTTGTCGGCCCAGGTCCTCCGCTTCTGTTCCGTTTCAGGCTTTGCGAGCTTCAGCATTGATCAACGGCCTTGGAGTTGAAGCATTAGCTATGTTCCGCCGGGTGGCAAATCAGCCCACGAGTGTGTGACAACACGAGCTCGAGCAAAAGCTGCAAGACCAGACATGCAGGAAGCCTTTATCCATCGATCATCTCCGACGTTTCTTGCGAGCGACAGTGTAATCCATTACGTCTTAACGATTGGCGCCGAGGCCCAGGCCGAACTGGTTCCTGGATGCACCAAGGACAGTCCGTCAACGACTTTGGAGGAAATTGTTGGAATGCCACCTGAGCCGGACTGCAAGTTAACCCCCCCTTTGCATGCTCGGTGCATAAGTTCCATCACATCAAGGACCAGGCTTGCGAAGACGGTCTTTCTGCCGACTTCTTCGCCCGGCCTTCTTGATTCGCCATCACAGCAGAAACTAGGCTTAGCCCAGCCAGCAATTGCTGCTCCCTTATCAGATTGATGGCCGGATGACCGAGGAGTTTGGGGGGGTGAGAGACAGTCAACTGTCAACTCGGCCGGCCTTGGTGCCAAAATGGAGCGTGCCATCTTCAGGGGAACGGAGTGCTCCACCCAACTGCCGGAAAGTGACATCTCACCTCGGGGAGATCTCGTTGCATGACAGGAAACAGGCAGAAAAAAAGGCATCCCCGAACCGAGGTTGCAAATACCTCCGACGACCTGTGCAACAAGACGACCCCAATCAACAAAAGGCCAAGAGATGTCATCTGCGCAAGGCAGAACACTTCAGCCCAGAACTTGCAGCTGCTGCCAACCGTCTGGACCGCTCCGATGCAACCATGACACTGGTCGAACGTCCCGGTCCCGGCATAAACGGCTTGGTCGGGCTGGCAGGCCAGTTCGGACTGGAAGGTAGAGTAGCACCTGAGGCAAGCCAGAAAAAAAAAAAAACATGAGCACCTGACACCCAAAATGCAAAACAGAAGCATGTTGCATCCGAACAGGCGGTGGCGAGAGAAGGCCACAGATCCTGAACCTTGGGCCCCCGGACTGATTTGTGTCCAACGACCGAGGTAGCCGGTCCTTAGATCTTGGACCAATGTTGGAGACTTGCCTTTACACTGCAAAGCCATGGCATGCATGATGCAGTATAACTTGCTGACCGGGTTCGGGCTCCGCTGCTCCTCCTGACATCTGCCGAAGAGCAGCCAAATCCATCTTGGTTGATCTCGATGTATGCTTCACTCTGCCTCACTCTGCCTCACTTGCCTCAGCCTCCACAGAGCCTCAGTGCCTGGCCCCAGCGCGCCAGGATCCTCCAAATGTCCGGGTCTGCAGCGGCGCAATGACCGTCCACTAGAACAACTCGGGCTTGTCCACTGGAAAGCTCCCGTCTCGAGGCTCTGACTTCTCCGGCGACTCGTGAAAGAAGAAATGCTTCTTCAGCAGCTTCTCCCGCACCGTCCTGAGGACATCACGGGCGGAGCACTCTGCACCTTGCTGTGATTGCTACGGTTCGGCATTCACGACGTGACAAGCTCGGAGGCAGCCGGCACATTGCAAGAACGTGCTAGTAAACAACAACAGACTCATGAATTCCCTCACGCGAACTCGTCAGCTCGGGAATATTTGCAGGGTCATGTCTGGAACGAAAACTTTAAAAACAATCTCAAGGTAACTCATCACTGCATGCGCCCGTTTGCCTCGCAGCCCGGCTGGCATCGGGGTGCGAAGCCACCAGCCAACTGCAATTGTTTGATGGTTTCCTGCGCTTTTCTTCGATCTCTTTGCACAGGCCTCTTGAACTTGACCGCGGTCTCAACGTGAGCGATGATCATGTACACCTGCGGGGCTCGCCCGTTCCCACGTAGCGCTAAGGGCACTGTGAACATGTTTTCTTAGCGTGCTTAGTTCATGTGCCAGCCACGAATGCCTCGATTCTGAACACTTTTGCAGCTCCACTCCAGGCTGAAACCGCTGCAGTTCCGCATGCGAAGCGAGGCAATTATGGTCCTCCTATATTCAGCTAGCGGCTAGCGGCAAGGGCCAGTTTGCCAGGCTTGAAACCACCACTCCCACTGGTCGAGGTGTGGTACTTCGAAAGGCTCCCCGTCACTCTGCAAGAACATCTCTTCGCTAAACTCATGGCCAATGAAGGATATGATTGCGGACTGGACCGCCAAAGGTAAAGCCGGCTTTGATATCCCGTCAAGTATTCGCCTCAGAACGAGCCACGGTGGCCACTTCCGTGAGGAAGCCCAGAGTGTCCAAATCGCAGAATGTGCCGCAAAGTGGCGTGGGCGTACCAGGCAAACACAATTGAACCCGGAGGTCACCCCGGAGCCGCAGCAGCGTTCAATGCAGGTGTATGGCCTGCCCGGGGTCGTGGTGGATGCTATTTCATGAAGGTACTCAAGGATGGGCTTCTCGTGGTACTTGCGCGGGTCGAGCTCCAGTTGCCGCGCACGCAGTATGAAGCGCTCGGCTAGGAGCCCACGCCACTTTACGAAAGGTGAGATCTCTGGCATTGGAAAGCGGAGAACACCAATCACATGTCGGTGCTTGTAGATGTTGCCGCACCACACACTAAAACATTGCACCTTGCCACTGTCGTTCAAGTACGTGTCATAGGTGTAGGGAATACTCCGTTTCTCTAAGCGCCAAGCGGCAAGTGCTAAAGGTGCCTCGCGCGTGTCATACCCATCCTGCACAAGGCAAACGTTGCTACGCTCGTCCATCAGAGCATTGATCATCACCACCGAATGCGAGTGGCGGCGCAAGCGTATCTGATCACCTTCGTCTAGGGGATCTAGGCTGACATCACCAAGTGCTTGAAGGGCAATGCTTGAAAACACTGCGCAAGCAACCTCGGCTGGCTCCATACATTCGGCTAGACATCGCCAGCGAATCTCCTGCTTCACGGTGTCATCCATGTCCTCGTACTCCATCGCTTGGAGCTGCAGCTGCTCGACGGGGACCATGCTACCACAAGGTAGCTGCCCAGGATCCGGCATCGGCAGTGTTGGGAGTTGGGTAACAGCCCACTGGGCGGAAGCTACGCTTCCTTTTTTGGCCTTGCCAACCGGCGTCATTCTATCCGCTACCCAACGCAGAGTGACGCAGCAGTTTCTTCTTGGCAGCGAGCTGGAGCCATGGGAGAGTCGTCACTCTTCATGCGGCACTGTTGGCAGTACCTAGCCATTTATGCGAACAATCGCCCGCAAAGTGTTGCCAAGAGACTTCCGTCCTAAGGTACAAGTAACACAATGCTGACATCTTGCTTCCGGTGACTGCTCCACTTCAGACATTCTTGCTTATGTTTGATATGAAACCCTGCGGCTGCCAACACATCAGCAAGCCTAGGTAGCAACTAGAGCACGAGCAGGCTGTAATTTAGAGTGGATCGTCATGTGAACTCGCCTGCTTCTATGGACACAGCGCCATGTATCCCAACTGTCTGTTCGAACGTGTCATTTGGACTTGGGAGGCCAGCCAAGAAGTTTTCTGCTTCACTCGTTCTACAGGATCAAGCCGAGACTTGCCTTCACCACAAACAACAGGAAGTCCCACAATGCGCTCACCAGAACGAGGACGCTGCGCCTGAGATGTGATTCGATCATGGTTCGACCCTTTCCAGCAACCGAAGATGTCAGGCATGTTACCCTCTTGCATGCTTCGTCAACTGTTAGCCCAGGTGCTTCAGCGAAACGAACATGTAGACCTGCGGGGCACGTAGGAGGGATGGACAGGGTGGAGGCAAAACCTGACCGATTTGTCTTTACGAGCACCTGCAAGAACCGAATGCTGGGCGTGATTTTTTGCCTCCCTCCTACCCAACAGCAGTGATCTGTATCGGGGTTTACGGTGCTAGGCAAGGAAACTGTGGGTAGCCGAACCCACCCTTCCCGCAAGAAAGCAGTCAGGTATAGTCAGGTGGTTGCTTGCTACGTCGCGAGAGCAGGCCTCCCTACCTGGTGTACCTCAACCACATTCAACAACCTGACATAAGCTGAGGCAGAATGTGAGGACAATTGATGATCAGTGCCTTCATCGCCATGCAGGGCAGCTTTACAAGTGCCAAATTCGGCAGTTGGGTGAGGATGCCTACCTGGCATGTACGTTCAACTTCAAACCGCAACATCAGCCAAGGATTACCAGTGAGCCACACAGGCCAATCAATTATCCAAGCTTTGAGGCTGCCACAGTCTCCTCAAACTGGAACATTACCTGCACCGATGCGGGGTCGCTTGAACCCTGGTATCAAACTTTTGTAATTCTTGTACTCCATGATTAGGAGCAGGTGCCGTGTGGTCACAGCGAGTTCTGGCCCTGATCCGGGCGTTGAGGCGAGATGTCTCCCAACATCTATGCACTTGTCTTCGTTGAACGCTCGGCCGGAGTAGCATGTTGCGAGTCTTTCATGCCTTGCCAATGCTATCGGGATTGGGATGGATGCCTTGCAGCACATTACCCCCGGCCTTGTTGACGTAGCCTAGGGCAAAAACTCGGGGGACCTTGCCACGATGGCTTAGCCTTGGCAGCTTGATTCACAATGCCAAGCAAATACCACTTCGTTTGCAGCAATGCGAGGCTTTGAACATGAAGGCTCCATTTGCGATGGCTCCTGTTCCCTTGTCTGCCTCACGCAGCTTTGGCTTCGTCCAGCTTCAGTCCATAGCCGAGACAGGCCACCACTATTAAGTAGACCGCAACACGACTACAAACCACGTAGCTTGTAAAGAGGCAAGTGCACGTTTGCGCTGTCCTGCCTGAATGGAAAACGATCATCCGACCGAGATTGGCTGTGTAGACAATTTTTACGAAGCAGGTACTGCAGCCATGCGATGCTTGCGGTACACTTCGAGGGTAAACTTGCCTAAAGGCCGTTCTCTCCAAGAGTTAATTCGCTGCTGGTGGCTCGGGGAAAAGCTTTCCAGCTTCATCTCTGGAATAAGACCGCCCGTATATTCCGGCGGCAAGACAGCCGGAGCGAACAGCGCTGCGAGTGCCACAGCAGAGGCTGTCAGCTGGTCGGGATTCGAAGCCTTGAAACAGGATCCAGGCTTGGCCAGCTCGGCCTCCAGCTTGACAATTGCCTCCTCCAAGTCCTGGAGGCCCTCCCAGGGATGCGGGATGCTGGGTACACTACTGTCACTACTACCCTGGTAGCAGAACTTTCCTTCATGCCCTGGATGCCTTGGCTTGGCGCTCTGCATCACCCACCATCTGGTCCCACATTTTGCCAGCCACCTGTTCGGCTCACGGGTTCGTGTTCGCAGGAAATTGCCCCAGCTAAACTTCATAATTTCATCATTTCGATGGATGGAGGGGCTGACGTGGATGTTTCGCAGGATGTTAAAAGCAAAAGGACATGTCGGTTCCTTGCACATTGCAGGCTAGTAGGTGAATCGACACTGCGTGAGGCCTGAGGCGTGAGCCCAGACAAAATATTGACTTCTCGCGGATGCGCTACAGTAACAACTGACTTAACGTTGTGACTCCAAGCCACTGTGCGGCGAAAGCCGCTGATACCCCAAAGGAAATGCTGCCACCAGGAAACCGGTGCAGTCTTGCCAAACTCGTACAAAGTGCTGTCCTGTTCATCCTTCAGGAGGTCTGAGTAGGTGACGCTGCGAGTTCGTGGGCCAATCACATAGTTGAGAGTCTGAAACACATCCTCTGGTACATCTCCAAGACCTGTGAGCTTCAGCACCTGCCAAGAATCGTCAAAGACTTCACCAGAGCCGGTCACATAGAGCGGGGTGCCGCTGCCCTTTCCTGTGCCAGCCTCGCGCGCACGCTTCCGAATTCGCTCCACAGGGCTAAAGAACATGTGGATGCCTGGCAAGTAGGGGTACTCAGTGAAGGGGATCCTTGGCGTCAGAAATGCCGAAATCTGTGGGAATCCGAGGACACTTAGCTACCGGAACTGCTGAGCCATCACTGGGTAAATGCTGAGTAGTATGTGCACTACACTGGCACCAAAATGCCACCTTCTGTTGTTCACGCTGAAATGGGTGGTCTTCTTGTCTAGTTTACAACACGATCATACTGAATGGGGGAATCATGCGTGTGCTGTCGGTGCTGTCAAGCATAAGCGAATCTTGTTAGAGCCCCTGACATGGACTCGAAAACACACCAAACACCAAACACCCTCTAGCTCCTTTCAAGCGTCTTTGCAATATGCAGGGACCACCGGGCCAGCTCGCAGTAGTGTGAGAACGGGATTGTGTAAAGCTCCCCCGGGTTGGCCATTGCTGCGCGAACTAAGGGCGAATCTGCCGCTTCGTCCGACGGGATACCCTGAGCCTGGAGGTCTACGATGTGCCGGACAGTGTTATTAACAAGCGACAAGCTTCACCCTGCAGAGTGGAGACTGCAGCTAAGGCTGTTTCGCGGCGTATCGCATGGCACCCTTTCGAGGGTGGCACAACCTCACCATGTGACAAAACACATCGACCGCGACAAGATCAGCCAAGGAATGGTGGAGCAGTGCGAGACGAGCCCGAGACTGCACAACGTCCGTCACTAAGTACGGGATCGAGAACCTTAGGGGTCGGCAGGGCTGCGCACCAAAAATTCAGGATTGCGTCAGCATGTGTCCGCTCATGCAAGTTGCTGGATGCTTGCGCATGGCGCATAGTTGTCTGGACATTCCACCAGCGCGACTGCTAAAGCTGCTTGGGAGGTACGCCGGGAATGCGCTGAACCCGCGGGAACATCTGCTGCCTTGCCTGCACCCACCCAGTATAGGCATCCCGCACCTGGGGCACGTTCGCCGGGCACGTGCCGGGTATCTGCCGAGCGTGGCACGTGTCAGAGAGCATGCTGCACAGAATGCGCAGTATCATCGTGGGGCGCTCTCCCAAACGTATGTTCTAGCAATATAGTTGGCATCGTTGAGATTTGGTTGTGGGAGCTGTCGGGAAGGAATGTTGCGGCAACCGTGGCTGACATTTTCTCTGCGTCGGCGAGGCAAGAAATCGGGCGGCTCTTTACAAAGATATCATGCCCAGTGCCAAGACATGCGGCCGGGTCAAACATTGCACAATGGCAAGTCTCGACATTTTGACGTGCAGGTTGCAGACAGCTGAGCGGCAAGAAACTAGGGGAACAAAGTGGGACAGAATACATGACATGGTGTTAGAGAAGCTGCACAAACCCACGTCGGCAGCCAGTAAACTGCAATTCAGTCAACGTGGTCTCCGCACTCAGGCTGCGACAACTGCATATAAGCCAGTGAGATTCGCACCGCCAAGTTAGAAGCCTTGCTGGCGGCGATAAAGATGTCGGTTGCTAGCAACTTGCAACTCGCACTCTGCATGGTCCGGCGCAAGATTGAGATAGTTTGTTTGAGCACTTTCAGGTGCAGACGGCTGCATAAGACAACCTCCAAGCCTGGACTCCAAGCCCTGACTCACAGCCTCACAATGCCTCACAGTTGAAATCTCAAGTAAAAAACCCTGAACCCGAAATCATTGGGGGAATGCGGAATCGGGCTCTTGCCACACTTTTCCAGCAGCTCCCTTTGCTTCGTTGCTCCGCCAGATCCCTGCATCCTGAAGCTCCGAATCCTCGACCACCAACCTCGCAGGCATGCGATCACAGAATGGCTATAGGCACAGCTTGAATAGAGCTTAATCTCCGTAAGGCATGATAACACTGACGGACATGTGCGACTTGTGCAATAGTATGTCCTGACGGGAAGCTGCTTTGGGTGGAGGTAGCCACACCCCTTTCGCGCTGACGTGTCAGATGCCTCTTGCAACTTGCAACGACTCAGACCGCAGCCTCTGTGAGCCTTGGCCTTGGCCATCCCCACTTTCTTGTTCCGCAGGCCTCCAATAAGAGCCCCCAAGTGGGCAGAGGCTAGGAAATTCGTTGAATAGACCGAACGAAACATAGGCACTGTGGGTGAGGTCGGGGATGTAGCTACACCGACATCAACAACAGCTGAGTGCGGTCGTGACACTGCCTCGTCTTGATCCCCAGGCCGAAATTGTACGCGACGAAAGGTCGAAGCAGATCACCCGCGATTATGCATCGCTTTCGACTGCTGACTCTTCACCTGCGCAAATCCACCATTTGGCTGGGAGTCCACCAACATCTTCTTCGCGCACGCAGGACAGATGCGGATGTGCCTAGGCCACGGAAGCATGCTCTACGTCCACGTGTTCTATGTTGTATACGGATCGCCATGCCGAGACCAGAAGCCTCGCAGTTAGTGTCAAGCTGCTCCGCTGCACCGACAATAGTTCTGGTGCCCATACCTTGCGTCCACACAGGGTCTGGCGTGATCTACTCTATGAATGGATGGTGGGCCGAGTTTAACTATTTACTGGCAGTTGCAGTTGAGGATCGGGACGTCCATCTCGAAGACTTTCTCCTCACAGCTTTTCACAACATCCAAAGACTAGGTTGCACCGACAGGTTGTAACCGAACTGATGCCGCTGTGAAAAGCTACTGTCCCCAAGTCGATCATGACGATATCGCATGTCACTACAACTGTCCTCCGGCAACCACATTCCAACAGCAATGGTGCGCATGGCATGGTCGCCCCAACGGTGCAGCCAAAAGCCACCTATGGAGTCCAAGTACCTGCCAGGGAAGAACGATGCAGAAAGACAATCGGAAAAGAATCGATACACCTGCTTTCGAACTGGCCTGAAGTAGTCTTGGTAGGGGTCAGATCGGAACCAATCCAGCTGCACGATCTCAATATCGTTCATGTAGAGCTGGTAGGTCCACTGAACATCTTCCTCTCTTACAAACTGTCTCAGAATCGGCGTTCCTCTCGGATCTATGCCTTTCATCTTCATGTACATCAGGGAATATTCCCAGAAGTGGCGAACAGCCCCCGGCAAGTCAGGCAGCAAGTGAGACCACGTGTAAACGTATCCACCTTCGTGCATTGCAGAAATAGGATCTGCGCTAACCTCCGCAGGGAAGTAGCCATCCGTATCCAGAGTCATCGCATACTGGAAATTCTGAAGGGCCGGCTGCAAGAAGATCGTGCCACTTCGGAACCGACACATACCCCTGTATCCCAGAGACCACTTTATGTCGTCTAAAGCGGCTTTTCGTGAAGGATCATCCAGAATGAAGCTTGGTATCTCAAGGTAATCATCTACATATGCGAACCAAATTCTGTTCCTCGAAGCATTCACAATTTGCTGGCGGTGGATCTCAGAAAGCCCATCATTGAAGACAACCACAGGGTAATCGAAGCGCCGATTGAAGCGCCGCCACAGACGAGGAAGGCTGTGCTGAATATCCTCGATGTCGGTGTCGTCATCTGATGTCAGGTAATGCAGCACGGCAGAGAAATTGCGTTCTGCGTCCCTTGTTCCTGAATCCACCTGCTCACACAACGGCCCTCGGTATGGTGGAAAACATTCACAGAAACCTTTCACGCAGCGGCCTCGCTGCTCAGACTCCAAGAAGTATTTCATTCCCGGTATTTCGTCCAGCTGTTTCACTGCCCACTGCTTGAACACTTCCCTGCTGCTGCCTGGACCGGGCATCGTTCCAACCAGCACTTGATCTTCGGATGCCTCGTCCAATTTCTGCCAGTCCTCTCCATCTGTCTTCTCCCCCGATTTTGAAGCCTGTGCCTCGCGGGCGAGCTCATCACGCCGGCAGTCTGCATCTCCGGATATCCACCCACGTTCGGACTTGATTTCTGCCGGACGTCCTCCAGTCCAAATCCAGCAGAGAGGCTGGCCATAAAGAGCGGTGGGATCATACGTCCAATAATTGCAGGCAGACGCTGTGCAGTGAGCTTCGCATGCACCAACCGAATCCTGAATCGTCTCTGATACGTAGGGATCATTCCCCCAGCCGCGATGGTCTGGACGCACGCAACCCTCTTCAACTTCTGAGTAACTATCTCGATTGGCCAGGTGGGCTTGGCAGTCGAAATTTCGTCTCTGAACTGGGATGCTTTGACCTCAATAGGAGAGCCAGCGCTGCGCATGCAAGTTCTGAAAAGCTTTCTCTGCACTGTGAGGCCAAAGCACGGTCCAAAAAGTAGCAGATGATCTTCTCCTTTTCCCGTCTGGGCACGGCAGGATCTGCCTCGGCTCAGCTTGAATCGCTGGAGAGAGCCCTCTGCCACAAATGACAAAGGCCTTAACAGTAGAAGCTCGTAGGCTCAACACCTTAAGGGAAGAGTCGAGTTGATCTTGGCCGGTGAAAAACAAAAACTCCCGTCGTTGATACTTGATGCCTGGCTCCCACCCTCCAGCCAAGTGGCGAGACGACCCATGTCCTCAGAGGAGATCACGTGTGCTCAACAGCCTTCAAGCTTCCAACCGGTCTTCCGTAATTTCACTACCCAGTGTCTGGCCCGGCTACCAGCTCCAGCTTTGAAAAGTAGCGGCTGCCAGTGGCGCAGTGCCAACCTGAGGTCAAGGACGAGGAACCATGTGGAGCAGCAAGCACGAGGAGCCGCTTTTTGAAGCGAGCACGATGTGAGCAGCGTCCAGACATGCACAGTACTCATGGCCATGGACTGAGCCTCCCGCCTCTCAACCAGCTGGAGAAAGAAGAATCGGGATGCCTCTGCATCTGGTTCGGAGTGGAGTTGGGCGCTGCTTCTCTCTTTCACGTGTCACCTTCTTTCTGGACGGCTTGGAGTTGCTGACAGAGGACCACGGAGCAACAGCACAGAACGCCAAAACCCCACCAACGCACGGCAGAAAGCTGGAAGCAACGAGGCAGACAAGAACAAAACAAAGATCAGAAGCAGAAAGCAAGGTCTAGGCAGAGATTCGAGAGGCAAAACGGTACAGAGCAAAAGACACAACAAGTACAAGGCCTGAGAGCAAAAGACAAGGAATAAAGCGGAAGGAAAGGAGCAACTGCGGAAACAACCAAAACAATAACGAACACATCCATAAGAAGTCAACTCAAACACAGCGAAGCTACAAGCAACAAGGCTCCACAAACACTTGCAGACACCACAAAAACCAGAAAAGTTAAGACCGGGCCAGGCGCTGCTGACTTGTTTGAGGACGAGCCAGATGAGTTTGGATGTCCTTCCGCACATAGACAGCGTAGGCAGAGGAAACGTGGTGTAGAGTGTACCCTTGGCAAGACGAGATTTCTGCATCACCCCTATACAACAAATTCTGTCAAAACTGATTCCCTAATGTACCTTCTGAAGACATTTTGAGCAAAGATTCGGAACTTCTTCACACTCATGCGATCCAGCATGCTGTCGACAGCTGCCAACGAGCACTGCCCCATCCAAAGGGCCGTGGTTAGATAATCATCCATGGCATCATCACCAAAGCCATCTGCCAGATCTTCCACCGAATGCTGTACCCAACCTTTTGCCAAGCGGGTATTGCGCCATGCCGGCCGCATAATGTGCCACCATGCCTCATATCTGGGGAGCACCTCAAATGGTGGAGGTACGAGTGGGTTGATCGGCACGACGAGAATCTTTGGCTGCAAAGGTGCGCCTGAGAAAAGATACTCGATGGCATGGCAGTTGTGGGTAGCAGGATGAAGAAAGAATACATCAGGTGCAGGTTCGGTGGACTGTCGCCACAGCACATCTAGCCTGTGAAAAAGGTGCTCAATAGACACCGTGTCGAAGTGGTGGCTGTCGTACGGCCGCAGCGGATCGATAAACTTGCTTATGGCTGCCTGCGATACATCGCCTAGCCGCCGGCCGGCAATACGAAGTTCGCCCTTGTAGGGAGGATGTATATTCACAGACCACACATACCCACCGTAGCCGAGCACTTCCAAACACAGACTCGGGTCGTAGTATATATCCGTTCCCGTACAGCTGAAGTTCTGTGCCCAAGCACCATCGGCCGTCGGCCTCACAGCAATGAAGGAGTGTGACAGATCCATCCTCGCGGCCTCAATCTGCTCCAGCATCTGCATGACAGTAGGGACGGGCTTGGACCCCCAGGGCGGCAATCGCCATCGCCTGGGCCATGCAATATCCGTGTCGCCGTCTCCAATGAACGGCGACAGAGATGCATCACACAACCGGCCGGTGGCACCCCCTTTGCCACCAGGGCCAAACAGAAGCCGAACAGCTTTCCCTCCCGTGGCCAGGGACTGGAGCACCGGAAAGGAAAGTTCTCCCAAAGCTTGGGGCGATCGCTTGCTGGGACGTGTCCCAGGCAGCGGATAGATGTAAGAGCTAGACGCCGAAGCTGGATCCGACTCGTCCAATGTAACACCAGATAGAATGATGTGGCTCTCATTGCTCTTGGACCTCAGTCGGACGTGGTGTCCTCCGGTAGTGCTGCGGGCGGGCGTACCGAAGGACGGTTATCAGGCGCAATCAATCAATATCAATCAAAAACATATATATATATAGATATAGATATAGATATAGATATAGATATAGATATAGATATAGATATAGATATAGATATAGATATAGATATAGATATAGATATAGATAGCTAGCTAGCTAGCTAACCCCCCGGAAAAATTTGTTTTTTGGTCCAAAACCAACTTTTTCCTAGGAAAAAGTTTGTTTTTCCACCGAAAACCAACTTTTTCCTAGGGAAACCCCAAAAGAAAACATCTTTTTGGAGCTTGGCCGTATAGTTTCCCAAAAGATGTTTTTTTTGGTTTTTTTGGGTTTTGCCTAGGCAAAACCATGGTTTTTGATTGGAAGAGTACAGTGTTGCCGTCAAGTGCGTGCTCGCGTCGAACCTCAACGTGCCTGGCGGTTGGTTTTTGCCTCTTGAATGTGAGTTTGGTTTTGGGCAGTCTTGGA